AACACAAAATAGCCTTAATGATGATAATAATGATGATGAGGATGACAATGACAATAATGATTATATAATAATAATACTAATATTTCATAAGTTTTAGTACATTGCAAAGTGCTTTACAAGTTTGGTGTGATTTGACCCTGACAACAGTTCTTCAAGATTGGTTCACTTACTATCTCCTTCTTGCTAATGAAGAAATGGACTCAGCAGTTCAGATAATATGCTCAGACTGAATACTGCACTGTCAAACCAGCTGGGCATGTGGAATTGTATGCATTTGGGGTTAGGGAGATAAGTGCTCAAATCCTGACTTCTTAACCACTTTCTAGTCAATTGGCTCTCATCAAAAAACCCAAACTCACTGCCACTGAGTCAATTCCAACTCATAGCAACCCCTATTGGGTTTCCAAGGCTATAAATCTTTACAGAAACAGACGGCCTCATCATTCTTCCAAGCCCCATGGGTTCGAACCACCACTCTTTCAGTTAGCCGCCAAATGCTTTCATCACTACACTACCAGAGCTCCTTAGTCAATTGACTGTAGGAAAATGAATGGGGGGTAGGTGGGTTGAAGTAGTTTTGCTTGTAGATTTATTGTGAATATTACATGCAGTTACACAAAAGCACCTGATTCTCTGCTCATTATACTTTAGTTGTTCAACATGTTAGCTCCTTCCTTCATTTTCCAAGAACTTACCTGCCAGGGGTGTGAGTGTGGAGTGCAGGGCTGCCAGCTGTGTCGTGGCTGTGGTTGCAGATAGCCCATCACCTGTCAGCAGGCACAAACAGTGGCATCCCTAATCATTAGGACATTCCTGACTTCCACCAATCACCTGTCTGCTGTACTGTGGTGGTTTGCATGTTGCTGTGATTCTGGAAGCTACACAATTGATATTTGAAATACCAACAGGGTCAGCCATGGTGGACAGGTTCCAGCAGGGCTTCCAGTCTAAGACAGGCTCGGAGGAGGAACCTCACAATCTACTTCTAACAAAATGGCCAGTGAGAACCTTAGGAATATCAGTAGAACATCATCTGATGTAAAGACAGAAGATAAGCCCCTCAGGTTGGAAGACACTCAGAATAAGACTGGGGAGGAGCTGCCTCCTCAAAGTAAAGTTGACCTTAATAATATGGATGGAGTACGCCTTCAGGACCTTTATTTGCTACAGCATGACTCAAAATGGGAAGGAACAACTGCAAACATCCACTAGTAATAAAAACATGGAATGCAAAAAGTAGGTATCTAGGAAAATTGGAAGTTGTCACAAATGAAATGGAACACTTGAAGATAGTTATCCTAGGCAACGTTGAGCTGAAATGGATCAGTCCTGGCTGTTCTGAATCAGACAATCATATAGCTGGGAATGACAAACTGAAGAGGAACGGCATCACATTCATTGTCAAAAAGAACATTTCTAGATCTGGCCTGAAGGACAACACGGTCAGTGATAGGACAACATCCATATACCTACAAGGAAGACCAGTACTGACAACAATTACTCAAATTTATGCACCAACCACTAAAGCCTAAGAGGAAAAAATTGAAGGTTGTGAGAGAAGGTGCTGGCTGGTCTGAGGTGAAGGGAAGAGTGTGAGTCCCAAACTTGGCAGCTGGTACCCATGACCTAGCTGGGATGGAACTCGCTGTTCAATGTGAAGTAGCTAAAGTGAATGGAAGAAATTATTAAGTGAAAGCACTTGAAACAGAAGATATCAAAGGGCAGCTCAAGAAGACAAAGTAAAGTATTATAACAAAACGTGCAAAGATCTGGATTTATAAAGTCTAAAGGGAAGAACGCACTTGGTATTTCTCAAGCTGAAAGAACTGAAGAAAAAAAAATCAAGCCTTGAGTTGCAATACTGAAGGTGTCTATGGGCAAAATATTGAATGATGCAGAAAACACCAGCAGAAGATGGAAGAAACACAGAATCACTGTACCAGGAAGAATTAGTCGACATTCAACCATTTTGGACGGTAGCATGTGATGAAGAACTGATGATATTCAAGGAAGAAGTACAAGCAGCACTGAAGGCACTGGCAAAAAACAACACTCCAGGAATTGACTTGGATCCACAGTCAATGCCCATTGAAGCAGCAACGTATTGCATTAGGCAAATCTTCAGCAAAAGACCTCTTTAAAGTGTTAAAAAGCAAAGATGTCACTTTGAGGACTAAGGTGCACTTGATCCAAGCCATAGTACTTTCAATTGCCTCATGAGCATACAAAAGCTGGACAACGAATAAGGAAGACCAAAGAAGAACTGATGCATCTAAATTATGGTGGTGGTAAAGAATGTCTAATATACCCTGGACGGCCAGAAGAATGACCAGATCTGTCTTGGAGGAAGTCCAGCCAGGGTGCTCCTTAGAAGCGAGGAGGGAGAGGTTTTGTCTCCTGTGCTCTGGACATGACATCAGGAAGGACCGGTCTCTGGAGAAGGACATCATGCTTGGTAAAGTGGAGGGGCAGTGAAAGATAAGAAGACCCTCAAGTAGATGGACTGACACAGTGGCTGCCACAATGGGCTGTAAGGTAGCAGTGATTGTGAGAATGGCACAGGACTGGGCAGTGTTTCACTCTGTTGTGCACAGGGTCGCTGGGTCAGAACCAGTTAGATGGCACCTCAGTAACAACAACACCCCACTTCAGAAAGACAAGTATTTTAAAACTGAAGAACAAAGTCAAATATGCAGTGTCAGTCCCTGACTCAGTTCGCCCAGAAGCAAGGATGTCTAGCTTGCCAGCGGCAGCAGTCACAGTTAACCCAGCAGGATTCAGACCCACCTGATGGTGTGTAGGACGGAGTGGCAGCTTCTGGCTCTGTGGTTGGAGTGGGCCCTGCTGAGTCCTCTGCACCTGATGGTCAAGAGAAACCCACGTGCTAAGGTCTGCAGTGCTATTTGCAAAATAATACTCAGTGACTTCTGAGAATACGAGCTGAGTATGTCTGAAAAGACCCAAAGGCAGTGACATCCTGGGGAGGTCAGCCTCACACCCGTGCAGACGACACCAGAGTCTCATGGATTAGATGAGAGCTCACGAATTATCTGGAGACAAATATTTCTAACATCTCTCAGCAAAACATCAGATGTGTCCATGTCTGTTTGTTCTTGTCTGCAGACTTGTCATGGACATATCCCTTGGACTGTGTGGTGAAAAGGTTGTTCACTCTTCCAGCCCTTGAGGAGTTCTACCACGGCTTAACAAAACGACTCTCAGAAGGAGAAGTTTACCCAAAGCAGCAACCAAGCACGGCTGGACCAACCTGTGAGCATGTCTGATGGAGGTGCAGCTTCGGGCTCTGCAGTGGGACTGGGGGCCGGAGAACCGTCAGCACCTGGTGGTTGGAAGAGATCAGCACACCAAGTCTATGAGCTGATGTGTAATGTGTTGCTCAGTGGGTTCTGTAGGTGCTGAATGTGACTGTGGTGACATCCTGGGAGGTGACAGCCCCTCACCTGCACAGATGATGCTGGCATCCTCCAGGTGCCCGCCGTTGAGCCCATCCCAGCCCCTGTGCACACACTGACCCAGGTGGTTCTCACTGCCTGTACACAACAGGGAGCTAGGCTGCCTCTCTGTTTCCCTGAAATGACAGCTGCCCACTGGGTAAGATTCACAGGCAGTTCCCTTTTTTTCTTCCACAGGGAGACAGTCCAGCTTGGGGTGACATTTTAGGTGCTGGCGTTAGACTGTGTGGATCTGAATCCAGGCCCTTTCCTTTCTAACTGTGCTATCTGGGGCAGGTTCCTTAACCTGTCTGATTGACCACATGTAAATATGGTGATAACAATAAAACGATTTAGTGGAGTTAACCTGACAAATAAGTCAGTACACTCAGCTCAGTGTGACATGATCACGGAATACTGAATTATTATTAATTTGTAGGAAAACCCAGAGTCACAAATGAGCTGCAGTGTCTCCTGGGAGAGGGATGTGGCAGAGGAAGCTCGAATATCCCCATCGGGTGCTTGCAGGGCCCCTGGTTAGAAATAAGGCCTTTGAGCTTGTGCTCCTTTCTTCCTGGAAGCTGTCACTCTCCTCGGGACCATGGGTTAAAGCTCAACCCATCCTCTAACCCGCTGTGCCCCAACTTCACAGACTTGTCTTAGAATTCTCCAATTGCAATCCCTCCCCTCCTTTACTTCTGGTACAAACTTCTCCCGGTACTTTGCCTTGATGGTGGTGTGGCTGTCATCCTCACTGACTGTGGACATGTTTTGGGCAGGGATGAGAGATGGAATGGTTAAGAGGATCAGTTTTGGATTTAGAACAGAAGTAGTTACCTGAGCTGCCTAAATTTTAGTTCTCTTGTTTGTAAAATGAGAATAATAACCCAGAGGAAAAAATAAATAAGACAATGCCTATAACAGCTAACCACCATGCCTGGGGCATAGTAAGTGCTCAATTAATGTTAGATGCCATGCTGCAGCAGCAACTGCTGTATCTGACTCTTTCTGTGTCTCTTGCCATGTCTGGCCCTCTGTAAATGTTCACTAAATATCCATGAGAAAAGTATGATTGCTTCGGTGAATTGATTAAGTGTGTGTGTACACGTGTGTATGTGCCAGGATTTTCAAAAAGATTCGTTATTAGAAGATTTATATATGTAATCTTATTCTATCCCAGCTGACTCTTTCAAGTAGGTTCTACTATAATCCCCACATTACACATGAACCATCAGAGGGCCAAAGAGATTAAGAAAAAGGTCATCATTCACTTAGCTTTCAAGTGGTGATGTTCAAATGCCCTTAGTCATGTACCAGATGTCTCATTCTCTATGAATCAGGCAGATATTGCAAGGGGGCTCAGACACAGGATGGGTCTGAGCTGGGACAAAAATTAGGGATGTGTGCATGAGATGGGCAGGTGGAGAGTGAGGACAGGAGGCAGATGAGATGGACGTGGAAGCTCTTTCAGCTTCATGCTTTTATGTGTTGAGTTTAAGTACCTCCCTACCTGGTGGTGGGTTGTCACGATTTGTTATTGATTCTGTTGCCCCTGGGACAGCAAATGACTCAGGAGCTGTGATGGGGACAAAGCAGGAGAGCTGCCTTAAGCAGCTACGATCACATTTATTAAGGGCCAACACTGTCAGGCACGGTGCCAAATGCTTTGCCTGTGGGATCTTGCTTTGTACTCAGAACCTGGTGAGGCAGAGACCAGTTTACCCCATTTTAGAAAACTGGAAACCCAGGCTCAGGGAGAGTGAGGTACTGGCTCGCGATCCCACAGCTCATAAGAGTCAGAACTGGGATTTGAACTGAAGTCTTCTTGTCTTCAAAAACCCTGACCCCAGCCAACTCACATCTTACTGAAATGAACTACAGGAAGTTGAGGGCAACTCTGTGAAACATGTCCTAGGGCTTTTAGTGCCCATGTTGATGTCTTCCCTGATGTAAAAATACAGAATAGGTAGGAAGTGACCATACATTTATTCAACTCAGAACCTTTTCTGTAGAATTCCATTGTAAATATGTATCCATGTTCAAACTTTGTACCTCACGTAGCTGACTTTACTTCTCTAACCATGTAGAAACCAGGGACCCCGGGACTGTCCTTTATTAGACAAAAGTCTTAGGGATGCTCTATTGCAGACAAAAAGTGTTCCCAGGTGAAAATCTCAGAGAAAATACTGTGACTTGATGGTCTGGGTGACATTACTCAGAAGACAGAAGCACACTTCTTTCAAAAGGTGGTTTAGAATCTGGTAGGGATTGTGAGGCTGGCACAGGACTGGGCAGTGTTTCGTTCTGTTGTACACGAATCTGCTATGAGTCGGAGATGCCTCGACGGCGCATAACAACAACAGACTCTGGCAGCAGTCAGCCTGATGATTTACTATGAAGCTTAGATGCTGGACAACTTATTTATACTCTCATAGTTTCAAACCTATCTCAGATATTTGGACATTTGAAACACCTGGATAAACATAGGACTGGTTTACCAAGCACCTACTATGTTTTGGTGCTCAGCTCTCTGTATACATCATCTCTCTGAAAACTTTCAAGTCTGTGAGGTAGTTCTATTATTTCATCCACTTTATAGATGAGAAACTGAAGCTCAGAGCAAGTGACTCCCAAGGTCATCCGGGTGACTTGCCCCAGGCGGATCCTGCAGTCAGCTGCCTTGCTTCCCGGCATTGGCATCATTGGACCCTCAGTTGGTCTTATCCCATCACCTCTTGTGTCCCATTAGAGGGTAATGAGATGGAACATGTACTCATTCAAATGCATGCACTTTGTCCTACCTCCTGCCTGATTAGATGCTGGCCAGGATGCAGAGAAAATTATTGTTAACAGCATAGACTCATCAAGAGAACTCTCTCCACCTGGTTCTATGGTGTCCCTATGATCCCAGTGTACAGCCATAGACAGACAACAAACACTCTGGCCACTGGTTCACAGGGCAGCCTCCCTGAGTCCCTGAGGTCATCTCACACCAGCTCCCATCTGCCTTGGCAGAGCAGTGGGGCCACCTTCCTGACCCAGCTGCCAGCTTGGCTGACAGTGGACTGCTTGGGGAGAGATCCATTGGGAGTGAGACTCTCTCCCTGCAACATCAGATTTCCTCAGGGAACCCCAGGTGCAGAAACCACTTCCTCTGGGGACACAAGATGCTGTCCTACATTGGCAGAAGCCCCTTTTGCTCACTAGTCTTGCCAGGGGCGGCTCCCTGAATGGCATTTGCAGAAGCAAATTTTTGGACAGGATTGTGAAGCAGAATTTTCTCAGATATTCCAGAACTTCACAGAGTCTGTGACTGTGAAGACCACCAGGAAGATTGCTTTCGCCCAGTTGCTGGAGGATGGTGTGATGGGTGGCAGAGGTGTCCATAAGGGTAGAAAGGCAGATCCATGAAAAAGGACACTACAGGGGTGCAGGGCGGAGGGAGAGGGGTCCTACCTGCTGATAACTGTGTTGTCTCTGGAGCTGCAGGCTCAGCTGAGGGTGTAAATGGATTCCCTGCGGCTGCAGAAAATAAGGCCAGAGGTGGAAAGAGTGTCACCTTGCAAGTTCCTGCTAGGCACACCTTGGCCTGTCACTGCTGGGAGCTGTCTGCTCTGCTCTGCATACGCTACTGCATCCCACATTCCTACCTGTGATGTTATGGGCACAGCAAGGTCATGGTCCTTGGCCTTGCTCCACCACCAGCACCTCCTGAGACCCCAGGGGTCCACACTCTGGGAGGCACAGGAGACAGCTATTTCATCCTAACCATCTTACGTTTGTGTTGAAGACTTTGTGATTTTTCAATTACTAATGTGACACATACTCCTTATGGAATAATTGGTAAAAACAGATAAGTAGAAAGAAAACAATAATCTGTAGGGACTATGGAATTCCACCACCCAGAGCGAACCTCTGTACCCACCATGGTGGGTAGTTTTCCTGGCTTTTGTTCATATAAGTGCCAATGCACATGCACAGAAACATATCGAATATAAATGGTTGGTGCTGGGTCTTCAGGACAACCTAACTTAGATATGATACACAGGTGTGGTTTTGCAGAGACCTGCCCATATTTATCTCATGGAAGACATCAGGTATTATTGAAGTGGCCTGTGCAGATTTAAAATGCATTTAAAATTTATCTTACCTCCTGGCATAATTTCTGGTGCATCTGTGCCTGTCAGGGTTTGGAAGATGGTTTCAGCGCCACAGGAAGGAAGAGAGAGAAGGCGAGAAAGAATGGTCAGCTCCAGAATACTTGAGAAGCTTGTTAAAAATGGAGGGTCTCCAGCACCTTCCTCAGATATTGGGATTAAGGGATGGGGGTAGGCCAGGCATCTGCCTTTTATAAGCCCCCTCAGACATTCCTGAACACACTTGAGTGGAGAACTCCTGACGTGTGCTGTGTGCTACAAGGGCCCCGCTCTGCCTTGCACAGGGTACAACCTTCTGTGACTCACAGATAACACGGTGGCAGATTTAACAAGACCAGGAGGAGCCTTCAGAGAGGGGACAGAAACCATCACACAGGATCATCTGAGCCATGGACTGTGGTCTTGCCGCTGTCCCCTCCCAACATGCTATGTGGCTTCAGGACCAGAGAATCCACCCGTCCCTTGTGATACTAGGAGGTCCTCCTCCATGGAAGCTCTGTGTTGTAATGGATGGTGTTCTCTCTTGCCTTTGGCTCAGACCCTAATTTGTGGCCATGTGTATGTGACCTTATGATATGAATTTCGATGATGCCTTTGGCTTTATTGCCTTCTCTCTCTTTGTCTTAGTTTCTGCAAATATTGATTGGATTCTTCTGTTTCGTACTTTTGTAATTCCTCAAATGTGTTTGCACTCTACCCATTTCATAGGTATTTATTTTTGTGTGATTGTTTCAATTTTCTGTATGAGGTCAGTCTGGTTCACCTTCATAATTCTGATGGCAGCGCAGGGCTGAGCACATAGGTGAACCCAAACAATGTTTTTTACTAAAGAATGATGGAATGCACCAGATGAAGTGTTGGAAGAAGAAAGACATTCTCTTTGCTTCTTTGAACTTCAGTTTTATCATCTGAAAAATGGAGATCATCTCTGTGGTTGCAGCTTTATTGGAAATGATAAGAATCAAATTGAATTGGTGAGCCTGCTAACAGATGCCAAAGGCTGAGAAGACACCCCCAAGGCCACGTCAGAGCACTCTGCTTTCATCAGGGGCAGTCTACCAAATGCCTTGCAAATGAAATGGAGAGGAGACAAGAAGATGAACTTGATCTCTCGGTCAAGCTCAGTAGAAAATGCCCAGGTGCTTAATCAGCTTCTTTGTAAAAAAGAAGTTAATCCTACCTGTTGGAGAGGTAACTTAAGATTCATCACCTATCAGTCAAGAGAGAACACCTGCCATCTTGTTGTTGTTATGTACCATTGAGTTGGACCCGACTCATAGCAACCCCTTCTTGGGTTTCCAAGGGGATATCACTACGGAAGTAGATTGTCCAACCTTCCTTCCAAGGAGCAGCTGGTGGGTTTGAACCACTAGCCTTTTGGTTAGCAGTCTTAGGCACTACACTACCAGAGTTCCCATCTAGACACTCCCATTTATTAGCTATTTGTTAATAAATGGGACATTTATTGCCAACTCTGCCCAAGGTCCTGGGGAGACAAGGGTCAGCATCTGTGTGAGAACAGAGTCATCTCTCACCTGCACAGATGACACCAGCATCCTCCAAGTGCCCACAATTGAGCCCAGACTGGCCCCTGTGCATGCACTGTCCCAGGTGGCTCTCGTTGCCTGCACACTGCATGTCATCCAGCAGGATTTTCCCAAAGCCCATCCCAAAGTGGGCCCCTGTGGGGGCTGCCAGGGCCTGGCCACACTGCAGCTGGCGGCACACAATGGTGGCCTCGGCTAGGTCCCACAGGTCGTCACACACGGTGCCCCATGTGCCCTGGGCAAAGACCTCCACACGGCCTGAGCACCTCCCCGTGCCATTCACCAGCCTCACCTCCATCCAGGCCCCTGGGAAGACACAAAGCAGTGGGAGAACAGGTGTTGTCTTATGATATTTCCTTACTTCTGTTCTTTTGGGCTTTTTACTACTGCTTCCATATTATTCATATCTTCCAGCAACACAAAATAGCCTTACTGATGATGAGAATAATGATGATGACAACAATATGACGACGACGATGACAACAATGATGATATCATAACAATAATACTAGTATTTCATGAGTTTTACTACATTGCAGGCTCCAAGCAAGATGCTTCCCAAGTTTGGTGTTATTTGACCCTCATAACAATTCTTTGAGATTTGTTCAATTACTTTCTCCTTCTTGCTAATGAAGAAACAGACTCAGATGTTGGAATAATATGCTCAGATTGAATACCATATCTTCAACCAGCCAGCCATGTGGAATCATGTGTTTGAAATCACACATGTGTGTGCTCAGACCCTGGCTTCTTCACTACTTTCTAGTCAGTTAACTCAACAAGAAAGAAATTTTCTATGTGATAAAATGGGGGGTGAGGCAGAAGTAGCTTGGCCTGTAGGGTTGTTGTGAGTATTAAATGAGCTGTTGGTTATCAAGAAGCATCTGATTCTCTGCTCTCATACTTTGGTTACTCAACATATGTTAGCTTCTTCCTTCATTTTCCAAGGACTTACCTGCCAGGGGTGTGGGTGTGGAGCGCAGGGCTGCCGACTGTGTCGTGGCTATGGTTGCAGATAACCCATCACCTGTCAGCAGGGACAAGCAGAAGCATCCCTCATTACAACATCCCTAAGCCCAACTTCAGAAGGACAAATGTGTGGAAACAGACATAGCCTGAAGGTCACAGTCAAACATGCAGAGTCAGTCGCTGACTCAGCTCCTGCAGAGGCAAAGATGCCTCTCAGGGACATGGGCAGCACTCAAAGTGGCTTCAGGTGTGGGAAGGTGCCAGCCCAGTGCCTGGCACATAGCTCCTTTTCCACATTCCCCGTAGAACAAGTGTCAACTCAGCTGCTGGTGTGAGAGTCGGAGAAGCATGGTGGGCTCTGTGGCAGGCAAAGGTGCTACCAAAGCTTGGTCTGCAAACATGAAACACTGCCCGGAGCGTTTGGGTCTGCTCCTCTCACCTCTCTCCCAGCCACATTTGTCCGACCCTAGACAGATGCTGCTCAAAAAAACCAAACCAAACTCATTGTTGTTGAGTTGATTGCAACCCATAGTGACCCCCATTGGGTTTCCAAGGCTGTAAATCTCTACGAAAGCAGACTGCCTGGTCTATCTTCCATGAGACAGCTGGTGGTTTCAAACCACTGACCTTTTGGTTAACAACCAAATGCTTTAACCACTACCCCACCAGAGCTCCCTGACAGACTCCATGGTGGGATGGGAAATGCTGGGACTATGAGGACGTCCTCTTGGTTCATACACTCCAGCTCTTTAGTATTGACCAAACGAGTTATGGCATTCTCCTCTCCTTCTTTTTAGGAGCAATTCAATGTGTCCAATCATGGAGCATGGCAGCCAGCTAGGCAGCTTAACATTTTGGCTTCTGTGTACTTCTGGATGGATTTGTCTGGGTTCTGAGTGACCTACACCATGGAAGCCTCCCATAGGGCATTAAGGCAGCTCTGTTTTCATCTCATTAACTCAT